CTTATCTTTTCCTTTTTAAAATATATTTTATTGATTATGCCATTACAGTTGTCCCATTTTTTCCCCTTCATTCCCCTCCACCCTGCACACACCCTCCCACCCACATTTCCCCCCTTTAGTTCATGTCTATGTGTCATAAATTCTTTAGCTTCTACATTTTCCCACACGAACTCTTGCCCTCCCAATCTATTTTCTCCCCACCATCTATGTTACTTATTCTCTGCACCTCGTCCCCACCTCTCTTCCTCCCACTCCCATTTTGCTTACCCTCCATGTGAACTCCATTTCTGTGGCTCCACTCCTGTTTTAGGTGTCTGCTTAGTTTGCTTTTGTTTTAGGTGTGGTTGTTAATAACTGTGAGTTTGCTGTCCTTTCACTGTTCATCTTTATCTTCTTTTTCTTAGGTAAGTCCCTTTAACAAGGGCTTGGTGATGATGAACTCCATGAATTTGATCTTATCTGAGAAGCACTTTATCTGCCCTTCCATTCTAAATGAAAGCTTTGCCATATAGAGCAATCTTGGATGTAGGTCCTTGGATTTCATGACTTGGAATACTTCTTTCCAGCCCCTTCTTGAGAAATCAGCTGACAGTCTGATGGGAACTCCTTCGTAGGTGACAGTCCCCTTATCTCTTACTGCTTCTAGATTTCTCTCCATTTTAATCTTGGCTAATGTAATTATGATGTACCTTGGTGTGTTTCTTCTTGGGTCCAACTTCCTTGGGACTCTCTGAGCTTCCTGGACTTCCTGAAAGCCTATTTTCTTTGCCAGATTGGGGAAGTTCTCCTTTATTATTTGTTCAAATAAATTTTCCACTGGTGGCTGTTCCTCTTCCCTTTCTGGTACCCCTGTAATTTGGATGTTGGGGTGTTTAAAGATGACCTGGAGGTTCCTCAGCTTCTCCTAATTTTTTTTCAATTCTTGTTTCTTCCTTCTTTTCTGTTTGGTTGTATCTTTCTTCCTTCTGGTCCACTCCATTGATTTGAGTCCCAGTTTTCTTTCCATTACTATTGGTTCCCTGGGCATTTTCCTTCATTTCACTTAGTGTAGCCTTCATTTGTTCATCTAATTTGAACCAAAACCAACCAGTTCTATAAGCATCCTGATCACCAGTATTTTGAACTGTGCATCTGATAGGTTGGCTATCTCTTGGTCACTTAAAAGTATTGGCTCTGGGGCTTTGATTTGTTCTGTTTGAGCCATTTTTGGTCAGGTCGCACCTGTATGAATGGCAGAACATTAGATATTCACCAGGGTGGGGCAACCCAGTTGCTGTATTGTGATGCTGTATGTGGGGGTGGGGTCAGAGAGGGAACAAACGGGCTCATTCTGCTTTCTCTCAGATTTCAGTCCCCTCTGCCACTTCTCACAAGCAAACTGGGCCCTTCTGGTGCTGGTTCCCAGGTGGGTGGGCTTGTGTACACTCTAGGACCCTGTGGGTCTTTCCAGTGAACTCTCCTGTGAGGCTGGGAGTCTCTCCTGGCACCTTTTCAATTGGTGCTTTTAGTCTTTATTTCCTGTAGCTGGGGCCCTGGGTTCCATGGCCTATCTCGCTGCCCATTTTTGCCTAGTTTATCTGCGTGCGAATGTGAGACCATGGTCAGCTCTGTGCCAACTGCACTACCTGGTCTGGCAGCCACAGCCTTTTCTGCCCCGATCCCTCTCCACTGGCTGCTGACTTCACCCCTCTTACTGGTTTGGTTCAATGGTTGTCGGACTTCTGAACAGTTCAGTTTTCTGTCTGTTCTGATTGTGTTTTTGTTTCTAAATCTTTATTGTCCTTAATCTTGGTTGTGCGAGGAGGCACAATGTTTCCACCTATGCCTCCATCTTGACCGGAAGTCCATAATCCTTTTCTTTACAGTCAGTAGCAATGCCCCTTTTTTCATTCTTGATTTTGGTCATTTGTGTCTTAACTTTCCCATTTTCTTGATCTTACTTACCAACATCAAATCTCTGGTAAATGTTTGTCAGTTTTGCAGATCTTACTGAAGAACTACGATTTTTGGTTTCAGTAATTTTCTGTTGTTTTTCCTCTTTTCTGTCAATGATTTCCACTCTGTCATTATTCCCATCTTTCTGCTTTATTTAAGTATAGTTTGCTCTTAAGTATAGTCAGCACAGGATTCTGTGCTGACCTGTGAACTGAAATGTGGCCAGATCAAATACAAATCAGCACATGCCTGGGTTGCGGGCTAGGTCCCCAGTTGAGGGTATGTGAGAGGTAACCAATGGATGCATCTCTCACACATGGATGTTTCTCTCCCTGTCTCCCTCCCTTCCCGTCTCTCTAAAAATAAATTAAAAATTTTTTAAAAGGCAAAAAATATGTGTGTGTATGTATATACATAATATATATATTCCAGAGAAAGAGAGGAAGGGAGAGAGAGAGATACACACACACCTCAGCCTAGGCATGTGCCCTGACCAGGAATCTAACTTGTAATCTTTTGGTTTACGAAATGATGCTCCAAGCAACTGAGCCACATTGGCCAGGGCTAGTTTGCTCTTCTTTACTAATTTCTTCATAAGGAATATTAGTTTATTGTTTTGACACACCTCTCTTCTTTTCTGATCTAGGCATTTAAAACTATGCATATCACCAGTAGTACTTATTGCTTTAACTGCATGTAACACATTTTGATATGTTCTTTTTCTTTTCAGTTTAAAATATTTCAAATGTTCTCTTGTGAGTTATCCTTTGACCCAGAAGTTTAGAAGTGTGTTATTTAATTTACAAATAGTTGGATGTTCTCAGATTTCTTTCTGAGAGGCATCTTTAACTGAATTCTGTTGTGGTCAGAGAACATACTGCATTTTGCATAAGTGCACTGTTTCTAGCTGTCCCAAGACCTGCCTGGGGCCCAGCACTCACCCGCCTGGGAATCTGTCTCATTCGGCCCTTCCCCAGGCACTGCCGTTCATTTAGTCACTTGCCTGGACTATTCCTGTGAGTCCTGCCTTAACAGTCTTGCAGCTGCTATCTCTGCTTAGTTTTGTTGTTTGGTTTATTTCTTGATTGTGTTTTTGTTTATTGTTTATTTTTAAATAAAATAAACAATGCTTTCTTGTTTATTTTTACACTTAGCTTCCTAGGGGGTCACTCCTACATCTGCATAGCTCAGTGTTCAGCCAGTTACTGACTGGTTAACTATGGTGTTCAGACATCTCTGACCAGTGGAAGGTTTCCATTTTTTGCTGAAGGCTCCTCATGTGGGCTGGGGGCACTTTCCAACTTCGGGCTGTTTCAAGTCTGTCCAGCTTTTACTTCCTTCTGGGTCCCCCTGCGTCTCTTCTGTCCATGCGCAGGCTCCACCATCTTGAGCTGTGTGGGTGGCATGGATCTGCTCCTGTCTCTGCTACACCTATGCATAGCCCCCAGCCAACCATCGGTACATAGAGAACTCACCAAGCTGTCCACCCTGCTGCTCCCCTGAGAGAACTCACCTACCTGCTGCTTTACCTCGTGGAGCACGCCGCTGAGTCCCTGTCTATCCACTGGCTTACTTTCTCCAAGACAGATCCACAACCTAGGGCTGGCAGGACTACTGGCCCTTCCTGTGACTGCCACTGAGATGGTTATTATGTGTCACCATGCTCTAAAGGGCCTCTCCACCTTGACACTACTGGCATTTGGAGCAGGGCCATCCCTTGTTGAGGGGCAGCCCTGTGTAGTGTAGGATGTTCAGCAGCATCCCAGCCTCCACCCACTAGATGCCAGCAGCAGCCCCAGTTACAACTGAAGCCATCACCAACACCTCCTGGAAGACAAGGCTGCCCCCTGGGTGAGAATACTGGTCCAGAGCATATCAGTCATAATTTTGGAGAAGTCTTTTTTATAACTAAAATCATCATCTTCTGTGTCATGATATATAGTAATGAGACATGTGTGCGCCATATTTCAAAGTTCAAGAGGCACACACCTCCTACCTGCAATCATAACCTCTTTGTTTCAATGTATAAAAACAAACCACAAAAACTCCACATTCATCATCTTAACAAAATAAAGATGACCGTGACGTATCCATCACGGTCAGTGCTGACATTGAAGGACAGTGCTGACAGAGCATGCTGTGCCCCATCCCTCAGTTCATTCCATCTGGGGTCGGTTTGGGAGGCTGAGACTGGTAAAATAAAGCAGCATCTGCACTTTCTCCAGAGCAGACAGGGACTGCCTGTCTCGGATGGAACAAAATGACCCCTTTGCTTTCATGTGGTAGGCAGAACAATGGCCCCCAAAGAAATCCTGTTTTAATCCTGGGGCCTGTGAATAGTAGGCAGACTGGGAGGAGGATTTTGCAGATGTCATGAGGATCTGGAGATGGAGACTTTCCTAGACTGTCCAGGTGGCCCAGAGTAATCATAAGGGTCCTCATGAGTGAGAGAGCAGGGCAGAGTCAGAGATGCAACCATGGAGGTGGAGGGGCAGCTAGGCCCTTGTGGTTCGGGATTGGGAGTCAGGGGAAGCAAGTAGCTTCCAGATGCTGCAAAAGGCAAAATAAATAAATAAATAAATAAATAAACAGCGCTGCCCCCAGGGCCTCCAGAAGGAAGCAGTGTTGACTTGAGTGCAGTGAAAATCATTTTGGACTTCTAATCTCCAGAACTACAAAATAATGTGTCTCACCATAAGCCACTCCATTTGCAGCAATTTGCCGCAGCAATAATAGAAAACCAACATATCACATCTCTGAATAGAGTTAGTCCAGTCTTCCAGACCTGCACTTCTAGTGAGGCAGTGGTAGTGTGGAGGTGCAGGCCAGGGCTCTGCAGTTGTGTTCAAAACAGAGCTACTTGGTGTAATGCTGAGCAAGTGGCTTGACCTCCCTGGCTCAGTCTTCTCCTGGAAGAAAGGGGGCCAAGGGCACCCTTGTGTCACAAAAGTACAGTGAGCCGTGCGATGGGACTTGCTTAGAAAGTGCCTGTCAAGTCACATGAGACCCCACCCCACCCCCCGCTCCGTCTCATCACTGCTAACCCTCCTGTGCCTCCCTCCCAGTGTGTCTATAGCGGAATCCTGAGGGGAACCGGCAGGCAAGCCTTTGGAGCCCTGGCTAATGCGATCACCTATTACATCATCGGCCTCCCACTGGGCATCGTTCTGACCTTCCTGGTGGGAATGGGGATTGTGGGTACGTGGTGTGAGGAAAAGTCAGGGGAGCCTGGGTTGTCCCTGGACACTCTCCCCATTGTCACTTGTTTCCCACAGGCCTCTGGCTGGGCATGCTGGCCTGTATCCTGCTGGCAGCTGCTACCTTTGTCACCTACACTGCCCGGATAAACTGGAAGCTAGCTGCAGAGGAGGTGAGTCTATAGCCCCTGGCCCGGAGACACTCTCACCCGGCCAACCAGGTGAAGTGACTGCTCAGTGGAACAGAGTGACTCCCTAGAGTACATTAGGCCTCAGCAGCAGTGATGGGTGGGGTTACAGCCTCAACATCTGCTCCTGTCACTGGAACTGGACCCAGACAGTGCCATGCAAGCTGCATACTCTCCAGCTATGGAGAAACTCACACCTAAACCACCCTTAGCCAGCTGCAGCTGCTGAAAACCAGACTAGAGCTTAGCGCTCAACAGACTGGTCTGAAGCCACGTGCATCTGGGAGTGGGCATGACTTTGGGAGAGGTAATGCATTACTCCGTTAACCCTCCTGTGGAAAAGGCCTGTATTTGCTCCTCAGACCCAGAAGTGGCCTGGCTCAGCCTGAAGGCAGAGCACAGAGAATGTGTTCTCTTGAAGACCCCGATTCCCACCAGGGCACAGTTTTGCCCTCATGTGGGAAGCAGGTTCATCTTGGCATGTAAGGTAATGGTAAATATGGATTTAAAACAGCACCACTTTAAAGCACACACCCCTAACCCCGAACTATGAATATATGCGCGTGTTCTGCTTTAGCGTGCAATGTTCTAAAGGCAGGAGGTGGATGCATCACGACATCTAGTCAGGGAGCTTCTCTGGTGTAATCAGAAATCACCCCAAGAAGGCGGAGGGCAGGGAGAGACCAAAGAAAGAGGGAGGCCCCTTCAGATGGCCAAGCAGCAGACTCAACAAGCAAGGGAATCTACAGAGGAGGCTTGTCTGAGATGGCAGGTAGACGATTCTGCACCCACCCGCCAGAATCTTCAAAGCTTATACAAAAGCCTTATAACTGGGGTCGGTCACATGCCTGGTGTGGGTCATCTCATCAGCACATTGCCCTCTCAGGGCTGTGTCCCTAGCCACCTTGGAGGGCAGGGAAGGGAAGCAGAGCACACGTTCCAAGGACAGGGGAGGGAGTGGGAGCCTCCAATTTCAGGTCCGGCTCCCGGTTGAACCAGCAGTCACATCTTCCTGATGGCCTTCCCCAGCAAGGCCAGCAGTGAACGGGAGAGCTGGCAGGCTGACCCAGGCCAGCTTTCTTCTTTAGGCTCAGAAGCGCATGGGGCTGCCACAGCAGGACAAGGCGAGCATGGCAAATGAGGCGACTCAGGCGAGCACGGCAAGCACGGCCCCCAGGCTCAGGCTTGACACAGCTGCTGCAGCTTCAGGTAATGCTGTCAGGGCTCTTTCACTGGGCACCTACGAACATGCCAGGGGCATGCTGCTCCTGGCTGCCCTATGTGTCTCAGGTGATGGGGAGCCAAGCAAGCCCAATCCTTGCTAAATGAAAATGATATAGTAAGCCCCAGGAAGAGGACACTAGTATCCTTCATATCCCCTGCTATAGGCAGCAAGCCATAGCCCCATTGTCAGATGAGGAGGCAAGGCTGAAAGCTTCAGCCTCTTTCTCACCAACCCTTGACTGGCAAAGGCAGGAGATCAGATCCAAGCACCGACCCATCCGACTGGACTGTGTTCTCACCACTTGGCTCCAGCTCAGGGCAGCAGGCCACAACCTGACCTACCACTGCTGGTCTGGGCAGGTCAGCCTGGCTTTGCTAACTGGAGTTGGGGCACCTCCTGTTTCCCCTCTGTACCTGTCAAACAGACAGGCACCTCTGCTTTATGTCCAGTATCTCTGAGATGAAATAATGGCTACAGCTCAAGGCACAGGTGCCCTCATGCCTCAGGGCTTGTACCAAGTGCCAGGCCGCAGCATGCAGCCCAAAGCCCTTTGAAATCCCAGTGACCAAGTCTCAGCTAGGGATGCCCGAACTGGCGCAGTGGTGAGCCAGCTGACTGAGACTCTGGGAACGACTTGGCCAACTAAACACTTAATATGCATTCTGAAGTCGTATGTGGAAATTACATTCGATGTGTCATATGTCCTGACAAAGAAAGGCTGAGACAGAACATGCTCCATCCACTCTCTGAGCAGTAACTAACTTCATCTGTTCCTCAACTTCAGTTTCAGATGCTCTCCCACCTGCTCCCCTCCTCTGGCCCTGCTGCAGAATAGGTCAAGGCTAATGTGTTTCTATCGGAGGCATTTTTATTGTTAAGTGTGGAGGTCAACTAACCAGTTCCACAGCAGGACGCATGCAACCAGTTAGCCTTGGCTTCCTGCCTCCAAGGCTATTCACGCTGCCCCCAGTGTTGCTGAATTTGCTCCTGTTTGTCTCTGCAGTGGCCATGAGCAGCAGCCCTGGCATTACCCTGACAATGTACTCACGGCCTGAGTGCCATTTGGACCTCTTTGGGACTTCAGAGGCAGCCCACACCCTTCCAGCTCCTTCCTGCAAACTGTCAGGGAGACAGCTGGCCCTCCGCCGAGGGGCCGCTCTGGGAGCAGCGGTGGCCATGCTGACAGCGGGGCTCATCATGAGGATCCTGACCCACAGACACTAGCGAAGCAGCTTGGAGATGAAGAGGATGCCAAGAGTGGCTGCCTCCACTGCATCCCCACAGGTACGCCCTCTCAAAGCATCAAAGGGTTCCAGTGCACGTGGACCCTTCGGACCAGTCCTGCCGACCTTGTTGTAGGTGCCTCCTGTGACAGAGGGGCCTGAATTGCGCAGACTGACAATCCTGACTTTCTCTCCTCTGACTGACTGTCCTTTGGAAGACACCAGCTGACCAAAGAGTGAGGAAACTGGGACCACCACTATGATTCAATAATGTAAATGGCTTCAAGTGGGACATTTCAAATTAAAAAAAACCCATGACGTTAAAAAGTATGCATTTCCTAGCCACAGTCTTCTGCCCAGGTCTGTTCACAAAGCCTTTAGGAAGCTTTGGAAAAGGGGTCAACAGGCTGAGCACCCCATTGTTGCCGGCTCCCCGACTCCTACTGTGAGATGTACCCCCTTCCCCACAGCCTGGGAGGCTGTCCACAGACTTCCTCACCTTTCCTCCAACCCTTTCATCCCACTGACATTCCCCCTTAGCACAGACCTTGAGAAACACTCCCTCTTACAGTAGCACTGTGAGACAAACGAGGGCCGTGAAACCCAGATCATTCTGCCACAGTGCCTCAGGATGAATTCAGTGTTGGGCTGAATCCCAGGACGCCTTTTCTGAGGCTGGTTGCTGTCTCAGGCTGCATACCCCCATCAAAAGTGGGGGGCAGACTGGCCTCCACCGCCACAGTACCTTCGCTATAAATAGTTATAAACACGCTCACACAGAGAACAGATTTACTGATCAAGGACAACAGGCAAAAGGATGCAAGAGTTTAACTCCCCATCTTGAAGCCCCAACATGCTATGAATTCAGTTTCATGGTGTTTTCCATGCCCGACATCCCAGGCCTCCTGCTCAGCCTCTATCCTTGTCTGTGATGTACCCCTTTCATTAGCGAGCTTCTAGCACCAAATAAAACACCGAGGTACAGGGCATGGCTAAGTACTATTGTATCTCCAGCTGTGCTCTACAGCTCACAGGTATGGAAGACAAAGTGTTCCCCAATCGATTTTTGGGAACCACACTGGCACTTCACAGACTCCACATGAGCTGGGCCTTTAATGCGCAGGCTGACTGGACAGACCCCAGCAGGCAAGATGGGTGGTAGGACCACTTTTGTGTAAAACCTCGTGGGGTCAGTGTCCTGTGAATGAACGCACTTCAGATCAGTGAATGGGGCCAGGAGAGAAGATCCTGACACCGATTCTGGAGTGTGCTTTCCCCACACCAGTCAGCAATTCTGACTCCTGCTGACTGTCCCCGTCTACCTAGAGGAGGCGTCAGATCCCACAGGTGAAGGGCTTAGCCTCACAGGACTATCCCTTCTCCCACCCCCACCTCCAACTTCAGACCCCAGTCACAAGTCCAGGTTGCCACGTGCTTCTGGCCGACCAGCTGCAGATTGGAGGGGCCAAGGACCCCTCCTGGGGTTCATTCAATTTGTTAAGAGTGGCTCACTGACCCCAGATGACCAGTTCACTATAAAGAAACATAACTAAGGGACAGAAGCTGGAAGCGATGCACAGGGCCAGGTATAGGGTGGGGGCGCAGACCTCCATGTGCTCACCAGTCCTGCCCTCCACATGCCATCCTTTGGGGTTTATGAAGCCTTCGTTCTGTAGGCATCGATCATATCATTGGGCCTTGGTGACATAATGTGACCTCCAGCACCCCTCCCCCATACCATATCTCCCCCAAGGTCTGGGGGTAGAACTGAATGTTCCAACCCACTAATCACAAAGTAGGTTTCCTTGGCAAGCAGACCCCGTCCTTAGGTCCTGGTTCAAAAGTCATATTATTACCGTTAACAAGACACATTTACCACTCTTGTCACTTAGGAAATCCCAAGGGTGTCAGGAGCTCTGTGGCAGAAATAGGTATAAAGACCATACACAGATTATAAATTACCAGAGCACAGAGGATGTAGTTGAAGAAAGCCTAGTTACTACATAGGTACACTGAAGAACTAAGGGAGCCAAAGCAGCACATAGGGCTCTCCTGGTGCTGCTTCTGTGCCAAGCCTGCCCTTGTTTCACTGTCCGCAGCTTTAATAAACACACTCTCAAATTAAAAAAAACAAACAACAAAAAGCCAATGACAAAGTAAAACTTGAAAACTATCTTCTTCACTAAGAATTTAAGATGAGAAAGCATGACTTAAAGTTGACTTAAAATTTGCCTTTGACAAAGTAAATATAGTTGGAGAAAATTTATGATTAAAGAATTATCTCCAAATGATATCTGAGGCTCCACACTAAGAATATTATAGAATGTTATGAAATCATGCCAGTTTTATCAAATATAATGTGTTTATTTTTAAGAACATACTCGTAGGTGTAGCATCCACCTATGCGAGCAACAAATGGTTGGAAGCTTTCAGGAGTTTAAGATGGAACTTTATTGGCCAAAGCTTTACCTGCGCAGGGGCGAACTCTCGAGGTGTCCGGAGACACGGTGCCAAAGTGGCTGCAAATGAGAGTCGCGCCTGGCGCTCACAGCCTGGGGTTTTTATTGGGGTGAGCAAGCAAGCAAGCAAATACAGAAGCAGACGTAGCTGTTAGCAATTGGCTATCTCGAGAGAACACACATGGCTATGTTCTCTGCTTGCAACAATGGATACTTTTCTGCAAAGACAAGGTCATGCACAAGGCGGTTTATCTTGTTCAGCACTCTTTGTACTTTCTATCTTCCTTGCTGAGACAGTCTGGAGCCTGCCTCGGGTTCCTCTTGGCTACTTTTATCTAATTCCGGGCCTAACAGTAGACAAGTCAGTAATTTGGTTTAACTAGAAATTATAAGAGTGTACAATATGCTAAATGAGAATGCCATATTGAAATTGTGTCTAGGACTTTTTAATAACTGATTATTCTGATAGTTGGAGACACAATTTAAGCAGCTTTTTCCTAGTCTAGTGATTAATTCTTGACACCTCATCTTGTGATAAAGACTAACATACTTTAGACAGCTTTAATAGAACAAATTCATTCAACAAAGTTGATTATTCATTCTATAAAGTAAATTACATTCTCTCTGTGTGGGCAGTCTGTTTTCAAAACAGACTTCCTGGGAGGAAGGGTGGGGCGCCCTCAGCCAGTCACATGGCCCCACCCACAGGCGGCTACCCTCCATGGGACTCCTCTTAGCACTGCGCAGTATCTGGGTTTTGCTGGTGGTCAGATCTCCCTCCATTCTCCATCCCCTTCAGCACCACCAGCTACTATGATGCTGAGTTCTTCTGCAGCCTTCTCCAAATAATCACCATCAGCCCCAGGCTCTCAAACTCCAAAATCCTGAATATTCAGGGCTTCTTGTCCATGACAGAAAGGAAATAATTTCCCCACATTAAGTTCTGTAGGTTGGGTTTATTTCTGAAGTTTAAAAAAGTGAACTTGAGTTGCATTGTGCTATAGAAATAAAAAAACGTGAAGATTTGTCCTTGGAGGTCCACTCATTAGCAACTTCAGGGTTCTGACAGAGGGTCAATGCTGTTATAAGTACAGTGCTGTTATTACTACATTTAAAAATGCCAGTTAGGTTCCGTCGCATGTGGAAGTTTACAACTCCTGCATCATAAGAATGACAAATGACACTTGAATGAAACTGGCAACTGTCCTCCAGGAAGTCCCAGGATTTACAAGATGCTTCAGGTGTGACAGGTCACAATGAGCCCTGTGGACAGGGACAAGAGGCTGATACAAACCAGTTACAAGGCAGGGAGGTGAGTGGATGAGAAAGGAGGAAAAACACTGGTCAGGTGGCACATCTGATGGAAGGACCAACTCCTGGAGGTCAGGTCCTGCAGTCCCAAGCGATGAGGGACAAGGACTCTCCCACACCATACCCTGTTCAAGTACCTGGGAAGATCTGCCTCATCTCTGTGGATTGCAAAGGACTGGTGGTGACCCTGGGTAGCACTGAGCTCTTCAAAGTTTCTGGAGTGATGGAGGCAGCAGCAGGGACAGGCGGGGTATCCCTTGTGCCATGAACTGGAGACAGTCACTGAGCATGTTCTGAGACTCCATCTTCCAGGGAGCACAGTTTAGCCTACGACACTCTCCTCCCCTAGCCCAGAGCACTAAGATCTGGGTACCACAATCCAGACCAGGTTCTCTGAATCTCCTCACTTGGGGGGGCAGTGTTGGGCTTGGGCTGAAATGGCAAGTTTAATCAGGGGTGCTTAGAAATGACTTTAAGTGTTGAATAGAGTGCTGCAATATTTTCTTACTGTTTTTGGTAAGACATTAAAATTACTGGTTCATTAACTATTTGACAGGAATAATTCAGTGGAGGCACCTAGGAAGAAGGTTGAACAGGATCACTCTTCAGTAGTATCCAGCCTGGAGAGAGGAGAAAGGGACGCAGGTCACTCTGCTGGTTTAGAAACCCGCCAAATGGCTCTGGAACATGAGCTGGGCCTCGGGCTCTAAGTGCGTTATACAGAAAAGGCCCCTATCCCCGAGAAGTCCAAGTGTGGTTTGGACTAAGGATAAAAGACTATGCTCTCCCCTCAGAACAACAGCAACAAGACAGGTGGTGAGGGAGGCGGGACTCTGGCCAGTATTAATGGGACAACGTTAGAACAGAAACAGGAGTTAAAAATGCTCATTTACTGTCCTGGCATCGTGAGCAGGAGGCTGAAGCCTCTACGTGAAATCTGAAAATTGGTGAGCAGTGCCAATGCCCCTAAAATGGCAGAGCAGGAGGGAACCAAACCCACACCCGCCGAAGAAGCGCTGCCACAACACAACTTGAGAATCTGAGAGGCATATTTGATTTCTAAAGGCTGAACCCATACCCTCCACAGTCAGTGCTTTCTGTCACTTGTGTTAAGTTTCACTGGAACTTTCTCTTGTGTACTTGTATGTACTCATTTAAATACACAGAGAAAACTGCTTCCCTCTGAGATTCTGACATGCTCCCTTTCCATTTCCCACTTCAGTGTTTCAAATCCATCCTAATTCTAGCAAAGTGAATAAAATAACATTTGCACATAAAATAACTAGTACAGGAAACCAATTTCAGAAAAATGTCTGCAATCACAATAAACAAAGATTCCTCCAGTAAAATATGTGAAATAAAAGGTGATTTGATGTTTTAAAAAATGGATAAAAGCACAGAGAGAAGAGCAGAGAAACAGCAAGAGGAAAAGAAAACCACATCTTTAATCTCATGCTGAACCCAAACCCGTCTGGACAACTGACACACCTGCTCACAGCTCGCAGAACTGGGCGGTGGCGCACCAAGGGGCTGGCCAGCCACTGCCGCCTACTCCCTCCCTCTGTGGGGGGGTGAGCCGGAAGCCTAAGGGCGGCTCAGAAAGGGCCTCGCCCATAGTCATCACTCCGTTGATCTCAAAGCCACATTTCTCGTTCCCAGCTGAACATGTTTACACATTGCTGCTCCTCTGGTCCCTTAGGGAGAAAGGCCTGTCTGCCAAACCCTTTGGGAACTTTGGGCTGAGGCTGCCTGGCCGGTCCCAGCCTGCTCGGCAGGTACCCTGCCCTATGGGAGTCTTCCGGGAACCATGGCCAGCCTGGGGAGCACAGTCAGCGCAGACCACCAACTGTCCCATGAGGCTAAGGAGTCCATCCTGACCAAGAGGACGTGTGTTGGGCTGGGGCTGGTGTCTTGGGAAGAGAGGAGAGGCAGACACTGACTGGAGACCCTCGGACACCTCGGACCTCAGGAAAATGAAGAAGAATGGCAGAAAGCTCCTAGACTGCACATGCTGATTTGCTACCATGGATTCTAAAGGCATATTTTTAAAAACCAAAACGACTACTCAAAACAAAAGGTGACTTAGAGGTTTTCAAGTCTGTCTCACAGTCTGTCACTTAGAGGTGACAGACTATGAAACAAAGAGCTCAGTATCTGAACGGTGCTGGTGGGCGGAGACTGGCAGCTGGCGCTGCTCCAGGGAGCCACGCCCGGACTGCCTGCCCCCTTCTGAAAATGCTAGGGCTGCTAGGCCATCACCTCTACACTTCTTCAGATTCCAGAAACCCACCCTCACCCTTCTCACATTGTGGAGAAGTTTTTACACACTGATACTCTGGGACAAAGTCCAAAGTGCCTGAAGACAAGTTAAACATTCTTTTTTCAATAATCTGTAAGCCTCCGGCTGTAGAAAAACACCTAAAAGAAGACATGCCCCACGTGGCCCACTTCACCTGAACAAAAGGAGGTGCTTCTACCACACTTTTAGCAGACAGAGCTGGGCTCTGAACTATGCTGTTCTCTGCTCACAGCTCACCAGATGGCCAGAAAAATCCATAGGGCCTTTCCCCCCAGCTCAGCTTGGAATTTCCAAGAAAACCCAGATGATTTCAAAGGCAGTTGGTATCTCCAATTGCACCAAAGCTGTGATACTATTAGCCAAACCCCTGTCAAATTAAATTTACACAAAATACAGATATAAACACAGCTACTTTCCAGCCCATTACTCATACGTGCTGTTGATAGGTTCCCTCTGGCATCACAGATGGCTGGCTGAGAGTCCCGAGAGACCACACCTTGTCCTGTCCTTCCTCACTGTCGTTACCATGGATTTTCTCCTTCCCCTCAAGGACACACAAGCTGCCTTCGGAAGCCAGCGGTCGTCTTTCAGCAAACCCATGTCTATAAGAACTATCACCGAAGACAGGCTTCACATGGCAGTTAAATTCAGAGGAAAAGCCTCTCTCCATCTCCACAGCCTGGCCTGCCGCTTCTGTGCACACTCAGAACAAAACCAAGACTGAGGCACCGAGAATGGAAGGATCTGAGGGTCAGCTGGCTTGGAACTTTGGCCATAGCTCCCGCTGTGATGGAGGCCCTGCGGCTACCAGAGCTTTGGGCCCAGAGCAGGGGAGTCACCCAGCAAGCAAGGGGGATGGCCGTGCCCCAGTGAGACAATCTTACAAAAGCAGGTAGCTGGCCAGTAGGCCTGCGTTTGCTGACGGAGTTAATTCAGAAACTAGGGGAGCTCCCAGTACAAAAGCTGTGCAGCACAGAGCCACTCAGGTGGATCAGTCTGACTCACCTTGATGAGCACCGCAGCCACGATGCCCAGGAAAGCGAGGAGCAGGAAGCTGAGTTTTCCCTTGCTGAACCGTTTCAAGAGGAAGAACTTGGCCCAGTTCACCTTCGACTGGCTGTTGGGAGGATATCTCAGTTTGTTAGCACTTTCTCTCTTTAAACTCTTTAACAAACAGGGCCGATGATGAGAGAAAGTATCAAAACTGTGTTGTCCGTGATAAGCTCCCATCCCACTTGAACCTGAAATACAGGGAATAGACAAAGGAGGCTCCACTGTAGGGGACAC